TGGCTGCGCCCTCCACTCTGTGCACCTCGGGGGGGCAAATTGGGGTGCTTAATGCCAAGGAATCCCCAAATTTCCCTTCCCTGTGCTGGAATACCATGGGGAAAGCACCTCCCTCCAGGCTTTATTTCCCCAGGAAAGGGTCCAGGTCCTGCAAGATGTGATGGGATATCCCCATCACCACCAAGCTTGGGATTAACCGTCGTCCCCCCCAGCTCAAAAGCAAAAATCCCAGGGGGAAAAGGATGCGGGGTGAGGAGGAGACCCCCAAAACAGAGGATTTTGGCCCCAAAACGGTGTTCCTGGTGACGTTTTGGCCCCGGTACCTGCTCAGGGTGATTTGGGCATCCTGGAGAGGAAGGGAGAGAGACGTTCAGGGCTGTTTGCCTGGGAATAAAAGCCAAAGAGGGGGAAAACAGAGGGACTGGGGTAAGGATTTGGCTCACCTGCAGCAGGTCACCGTCCGGTTGCCGGCACTTGGCCTGGAGCTCCGTGCGGCGTTGCCGTAGCCGGGCCAGCTCGGAGGCTTCCCCACGTCGCTGCTCCTCCAGCCTGCGGTGCAGGTGACCCAGACGGGCCAAGAACCGCGATTCCTGCTCTCCCAACACCCGCCGAAGCCCTTCCAGCACCGCCAGCAGCTTCTGCTTCTCAGCGCCGACTCGAGTCTGGGGGAGGAAGGGAGAGGAGGAGGAGGATGCCGGAGGGGGGGATGAAGCAGTTTGGCCCCCACGGTGCACCCCAATGGTGGGAGCACCCACCAGCATCTCCCGTCTTTTCTCCTCCGCTGCCGCCACCAGCCCGGCGAGTCGGTCGTCCTCCTCTTGCAGGACTTTTAGAGAAGCTTTGAACTGCTCCTGCAACCGGGAAAAGGGGGTTTGGCTCTTGGAGAGGGGGGGCTGGCACCCCTAAAGCACCCAGGATATGGTCGGTGTGGGTGGCCCCATTCTCTTCTCCAGAGACGCAAATGTATATCCATGTTATAATTGGGTTTATAGCTAGGCTTTACGTATACCTGCACACTGCTTGTCTAGATGTATAAATATATAGCGATATACGGCTGCTACGGGGCTCCCAGCCAGGCTGGCACACCCCATCTCTCCAAGACCTCCCCTAAAAATTCCCCACTGGCCCCTTAAACACGCCAGTGCCCCTTCCTCCCCCCCTTCCTGGCACCCTCAGCCAGTCCGTACCCCCTTTGGGGACCCCCATTTCCCCTCCCCACTGGGAAGCAGAGCAGGAACCCTTCACAGTGCAGGTGCAGGAGGTTTTTAAATCACTGATATTTAGAGCTTTGGTCCCCAAACTGCTGCCCCCCACCTCATTACATACTTAAGCCTCAGCAAACTGCAGCGTTTCAGCTCAATTTTGATTTTTGGAAGCTCATACTGTTGGTTTCTTTTCCCCCCTGGGGAAAAGCTGTTTCCCATCTGAAAATACATATTTTGGGGCTGAGTTTTAAGGGCAAATTGGGCTTTTAGCATCCCCTAGGGGTGTTTGAGCCGGGGTTCTGCTCACCCTGTACTCGCGAGCGGCCTCTTCGAGGGGCGCAGCGGGGTGGGTGCGATGCTTGGCACAGGCGGTGCAGAGGAGGATCCCATCCCGGCGACAAAAAAGGGTGAGGGGTTGGCGGTGCCGCCGGCAAAGCTCCTCCGCCACCGGCGTTGCCAGCTCCCGGACGGCCACCACCACGTTGGCCAGTTGCCGGTTGGGACGGAAGCCATCGCGGGGGAAAGGTAAACGGCACTGGGGGCAGGAACCAGCCCCGGCGGCATCCCCAGAACAACGGTTGAGGCAGCCACGGCAAAAATTGTGGCCACAACCCAGGAGCATGACAGGGTCGTGGAAGAAATCCAGGCAGATGGCGCAGGTGGTTTCCTCCTGGAGATTTTCCACGGTGTTTGCCGCGGCCATGGCCGAAGCGACGGGGTTGTTGTTGTTTTTATGAGCGCTCAGAGAAACGCCCACGCGAAGGGGCCGGGCGATGGTTTTCCTGGAAGCGGCGACGGGGCAGGAGGCCGGCGTTGGCATCCGGAACCTGGCGGGGAAGAGCAACACGGAGCTTATCTGACATTCCCACCTCTCCAGCGATAAAACAACAGCAGGGAACGCAGGCAGCGATAGCCGGGGCTTTAGGAGAGGCAATTTATTTGCGAGGTGATTTTTTTTAACACTTTGGCCGCAGCCAGGGGAAGCAAACTGTGGCCGGAGGGTGGCTGTAGAAAGCAGGGATTAATGCAGGATTGCAAGGAGTGAGCAGAATTCCTGCTACATCCGGCGCAGCTCATGGGGATATTAGCCGTGTTGCTAGCAATAAGCCCTGCGGAGGGGTTTAAAGGGAAATAAAAGCCACGACTAAAGCTCAGCACCCACATCAGATGTGAAAATAAGAAGCCGAGGGGAAAAAATAAGAACTAGCAGGCGCAGGATCTGTGGCTGGAAACGGTGTGAGAGCAGTCTGAAGCTGAGGCTGCCAAGCTCCCATCTCAGGAAGGAATAATCTTAAAGCACCTGTGTAATAAAATTAATTCAGGGAACCAAAGCAAATAAGGGGCTTTGAGCTGGAAGTTTCACTTTTATAGAATCCAGCCCACATAATTTTTTTTTCTTAAAATAGACTAATCAGGAATTATTTAAGTTATGAGGCTGATAAACCAGTAAAATAAGTTGCATATTCCCAAACAGACCTGTACAACCACAAGTCGCTGAGCCTCAAATTCGTCAGGTTTTGCTTCTCCCCATGAAAACCACAACCCTTTCTCAGAGGTGCTGCCAACCCTTTCCCCGGCTTGCAACGAAGGCAAAAATAGGCAAAAGCGACACAAAACCCCACCGGGCGTTTCTTACCCCCGCAAAAACCCCAAATAAACCCAAATTCGCCCCGATGCGAGGCGGGGGCTGGGGAGGGGAAGCTCACCTTCGCCGCAGGAGAACGGCTCGGAAAGATCTATTCTCATTGGTTAATCTCGGAGAGCCAATAGGAAGTCTCAGCGCTTCCAGTAGCCAATAGGGGGAGGCGTTTGTGATCCGCTTTCCCTCTACTCACAGCCGTGTGGGGGCCTCGAGGATGCGATGCAACGAGACCGAACCAAAATAAATCCGAAAGTTTCAATTCTGGTGGTGGCTCTCTGGGCAGAAAAAAAGTAAAGTAATAGTAAAATATTTTTTTCTCTCTTTTTTTTGAGAGTATATTTTTCGTTAGGAAATTTGTGGGACAGGACTTCAACTACCAGCAGACAAACTTGATGCTTAATTAACTTTTAGCTGTTTCAGGCACTTATTGCCCTTTTCCAAGGGGATCTCAGCCTGTGAGAGGCTTCAGCAGCAGTGGGAAAAGCCAGAACTGTGCTAGGGATAAATATTTTTCCAGAAGTTGTTAATTTTTTTTTGTACTTTTGCCATCTGTATAGAAGTTAATGGAAGGAAGCCACAATTTATACAATATTTAAGTTTTATTTTCTGTTATAAGCACCTCCCAGAGCTGCAGCACCTTGGTGTGAGCGTGTGTCGCACCTGCTTGACTTTCTGGGGCAATTTTTAGCAGTTTAGGAGTTTTTTAAACACAGCTTCTATATGGCCTGTTAGCAGGGACATAAAGAGTCATGGCGGAGGGGTGACCCCGGCTCTGACGCTTCTTGTTTTTGGGGGGGGAGCCGCGTTTTGGGGGAGGGAAAATCCCATTTTGGCGCCGGCGGGA